AATACAAAGGCACCTACATTTGTGAAAGAAACATTACTAAAGCTCAAATTGCACATAAAATCACACACACTAATAGTGGGAGACTTCAACACTCTGCTCTCACTGCTAGACAGGACCTCCAGACAGAAAATTAACAAAGAAACAAAGGAAATAATAGAAGTTATGACCCAACTGGGTTTAACAGACGTCTATAGAACATTCCACCCAAACACAAAGGGATATACCTTCTTCTTGGCTCCACATGGAACCTTCTCTAAAATTGACCACATAATAGGAAACATAGCAAATCTCCACAGATACAAAAAAATTGGAATAACTCCCTGTATCTTCTCAGTCCACAATGCATTAAAATTAGAATTCATCAATAACACAAATCTCAGAAACCCTACAAACTCATGGAAATTGAACAATGTTCATTTGCACCATCCCTGGGTAAAGGAAGAAATAAAAAAAGAAATTAAAGACTTCCTGGAATTCAATGAGAATAAAGACACAACATACACAAACCTATGGGCCACTTGGAAAGCAGTGCTGAGAGGAAAGTTCATAGCACTAGGTGCCCACATGAAGAAACTGGAGAACAGTCATACTAGAGAATTAATAGCACAGCTGAAGGTTCTAGAACAAAAAGAGGCAAACTCACCCAGGAGGAGCAGATGCCAGGAAATAATCAAATTGAGGGCTGAAATCAATCAATTAGAAACCAGGAGAATATTGATAAGAATCAATGAAACAAAGAGTTGGTTCTTTGAGAAAATCAACAAAATAGACAAATCTCTGTCCAAACTAACCAAAAGACAGAGAGAGAGCATGCTAATTAACAAAAATCAGAAATGAAAAATGGGACATAACAACGGACTCTGAGGAAATCCAGAGAATCATCAGGGCATACTTTGAAAATCTATACTCCACAAAATTTGAAAATTTAAAGGAAATGGACAATTTCCTGGATAGATATCACTTGCGAAAACTAAATCAAGAGCAGATAAACAATCTAAACAGACCTATAACCCTTAATGAAATAGAAGCAGTCACAAAAGTCTCCCAAACAAAAAAAGCCCAGGCCCAGATGGCTTCAGTGCAGAATTCTACCAGAAATTCAAAGAAGTGTTAATTCCAATACTCCTCAAAGTATTCCACAAAATAGAAGCAGGAGGCTCACTGCCAAACTCTTTTTACAAGGCTACAATTACCTTGATACCCAAGCTACACAAAGACACAACTAAGAAAGAAAACTATAGACCAATTTCCCTCATGAACATCGATGCAAAAATACTCAATAAAATACTAGCAAACCGGATTCAAGAACCCATCAGAAAAATCATCCACCATGATCAAATAGGCTTCATCCCAGGAATGTAGGGATGGTTCAACATTAGAAAATCTATCAATGTAATCTACCATATAAATAAACTGTGAAAGAAAAACACATGATCATCTCACTAGATGCTGAAAAACCTTTGACAAAATCCAGCACCCCTTCATGATAAAGGTCCTAGAGCGATCAGGGATAACAGGAACATACCTGAATATAATAAAAGCAATATACAGTAAACCAACAGCTAACATCAAACTAAATGGAGAGATTTTGACCCTTTCATTTAGATTCATGAGCCATTTTTTAGATTGTCCCTTAATTCATTTCCTACTGTTATTTTCTGGGGATTTTATAAAGTCATGAATAATTTAAAAGATCACTACAAAGGATTTGAATAACCTGTTAAAATATTGATGTTTATTATCAATGAAGTCAACTTTGACTACTAGGGTAAGATAGTGTCTACGGGGACTCTACATGACAGATGCATTCATTTTCCTCTGTGATTATTCAACATGTTAAAGATAGCATGTTGGTTCTATGAACACACCAGTTCCTTTCATTGTTGCCTACTCATTTATTTCTGCATCCACTCATGGTTCTTTTCAGTGGAAATTATAACCATAATATCCCAATCATGTTTTTCTAACTCCTTAAAGTCTCTCACAGTTACTAATTTAAAACCATTTATAATAAAGAGTTGCTATTTCTTTCTCATTTATTTATCCAGTTATTAATTTACTTCAACATTAAATTCATGGATATTTAATTCTTTGGGGTATAATATAGTACTGTAGTTATTTATTGTGTTGCTGAAGTTGTTCCAGCAGATGCTTTTAATAAGCACTAATTAAAAGCAATTTTGTCATCTTTTATAGAGTGCCTTAGAGTTTTGCATTTGAAGTGCGACAACTGCATTAAGATGATGGTAGGGATGGAAAACATTATGTCTCTGGAGTTTTTATTTATGGTTTCATTGAATTTTATACGCAGCACACAGGGATATGTACATGTTGGTCTTTCTGTTGATCCTGTTGCTCTGTGGAGCCAGATGAACCAAGAATTCATTCGGAACACTTTCTGCTGCATTGAGGACATAATGAGCATGTGGTTAAGGTCTTGGTCACTCTTGAGTGCTGGTCATCTTGTAGACTCATAATATTCTCTCACTTTGGGATACAGGATTCGTCCTTTCTGAAATTGTATGCTCTTTCAAATAAATTAATTGTATACGGTAATAAAAGCAAATAACCATTCCTTGCCGTTTCCAATGTTTTCTATTGTCTATCAAATAGAAGCAAGGGACCATTAAAAGCAGAATTGCTTTCCTTTAGCAAACAGACAATTTAAAATCTCAGCTATAGTTTGTTTCTGATTTAAGTACATTCTTGAATGGTTGATGTGTTGGAAACTTGGTCCTCAGTGTGATAACACAAGAATGACTTGACAGAATATTTAAAAGATAGAGCCTTTTAGCATTGAACTGAGTCAGTTCAAAGGGGACTTCTGTTAAGACCCTAGATTGACTTCTCACCAGGATTTGAAAAGAATGACCTTCCCTTTGTTTAGTATCTGTGTTCCAGTCTCCCGTTCTGTAATGTGACTGACTCCAGCACATTAGTGACATCCACCATGTAGTTCTAATAATATTTTAGCCAATGCAAATACCATGACTTTGATCCCCCAGAAACACAAACTTACTTTCTTCATAAAGTAACCAGCCTTGAAAATTCTATCATACCAGTAGAAAACACACCAATACCATATAATTTCCCCTGCCCTTATCCTGGAAGAGAGATAATGTGTGTAAAGAGGTGACTATCACATTGTGGTTCCTTTATGACTGCACACTTAACCACTAACATAAAACCCAGTTATTGGTAGATGATATTAGTCGTATTTGTTTGCAATTCTTTTGTATCTTATCTTGTTCTTCCTACTAAAGTCTTTAAACATTTTGCAAGCATTTTTCAAAATCCTACTGTTATAAAATGAATGAAAAATGGATAAAACATGAAGATAAAATAGTATGGTATTCGGTAAATATATTTTTAAAATACAAAATATATTTTACATAATATTTATAAAATATATAAGCATTAGATATTATTATTAACATCAGGTTCAACTAAAATGTAAAGTATTTAAGTAAGCAGCAGACTGAATTTTTAACCAGGGGATTCTGATTCTTAAATTTTGTCTATGATGCCAGTGGCCTACTGATTACAAATGACTCACTAAATGACATCCGTATTGTCTATCAGTTCTTTCCTTTAAATTTTATTGAGAGTTTTCCTTGGTGTGAAGTCCATGTCAATCAAAATGTTGGACTATAGGGGCATTATAGAAAGAATACAGAAATTATTTGTTTGTGGAGGCAATCTAACAGTTTGAAAAACAAAACCACCCCACTGTTATTGAAGCTGTAGTCTTAGATATACATTGAGATCATTGGATGGTGTATCCTACCATGACTTGGGAAAGATATAAGGCTTTGGGGGTGGTGACATGCCTTCTGAGCACAGACATCTGAATAGATAATAAATACATCTGGTATAGCAGTGAGGGACTACAACTACACTGAAACACCAAATATCACTCTACCTTTTATTTATGTTTTTCATGTATATTACTGTGAGAAATAAAAGTAGCAGATATTGAAATCCTTGGTTAACTAAGTTGGTGGAAGTCGGGAGTTAGAAAGGGAAGAAACAAAACTGGAAGCACATAGATCTCACCAGTAGTGGAAGTCTATGTAGTATAATGTGAATACCTCCCTTTTGTAATAAAGACTACTAGTGATCTTAGAACAGATGCCCAATAGAAGGAGACATAACTGGGCTCAGTACCCATATGCTTTCCCTCTGGCATAGCTGTCCTAATTTCTTTGGCAGAGTAGTCTTTTAGAATGTTAGTTACCAATTCACAAAGTGAATACATAAGCTCATATCATTTCTAGGACCCTTTCCAGCTCTAAAACAATATCTGTTTTCATAATTGTCCCACTTGTGCCCTTGGTAGAAGAAGTGGTTGGAAACACAAATATAAAAAGCAGCACTAAATTCCAAACAAAGATGCCAGGAACTTTCAAGGTAATTAGTAGCATCTATCACAGCACTTCAGCATTTACTGCTCCAGAGGTTGGGATAGTGCTGCTTGTTGCACTGACTTGAACACCTCAGAACTGCCCAAATGAATCCCTTGCATTTCTGCAAATTGCTATCCCAATGACTTTAGAGATCAACTTTCATAATTGCAAGCTACTCACTATATTAGGAGCTACTAGGCCCACTATACCATCATTCTTGGAACACGATTAATTATCTAGCTCTCAAGGTTCTCAGGAGAAGAAGAAAAGATGAAATTTCTCAGGGATTAGATGTCTTATACAGTAATTAGAAAGGAAAAATGTCATACTGTGTATGGGGCAGGGATAGCTACACACATTATTTTTCTGAAACAACCATGGGAACATATTATGACCAAATATTTGTTTTCCAGTGAGCAAATACTTTGTGAATAAAAATAGAGGCGTCTTACAGTAACACACACACACACACACACAACGCACACACACACACACACACACACACACACACACACACACACACACGGAGTTTATCCAGTATAAAATTTCTCGCTATCCAGGGAAATCACTGAAATGGTGAAATGTATCCCATACCTGTAGTTGCAGGGCTCCAGGGTTGGATGCTTTTTTATTCAAGGTCATGTGTTAGTAGGCATCTGTAAAATCAAAATGCCTGTGAGAATTTCTCAGCTCCCTTTGCTTTCTCTCATTTAGTGGAAAAAATCTGCCAGAAAGTGAGAAAATATCAGATGATGCCAAGAAAAATTTCTTCCTGTACAATTCATGTGAATCTGAGAGCAATCATTTGATATGGCCTCCATCCTTGGGACACCAGATTCACAGAATGGAGGTCAAAGGTGCCTTTATACATGCAATCAGCTCTATACATCCGTGCTGGCCTGGCATGCTAGTAGGATCACTATTTTGAAAAAAAAACATAAGACTCTAATATAATGTCTTCAGTTTTACTCATAAGGAACATTAAAATAATTTTCTGGTTATTACCCTATTTCCTTAACTCTAGTTAATTTTTATTTCCTAGTTTTCCCTTTAGTCCTGTTGTGACTTCTTGACTTGTAAGTGATGGAAACCTGTTCCTACAAATTTCCTCTATCAATAGAAGCTTTCTTTATTCCTTTGTATCCTATTAGGAGGTCCTTTTAATTGTTCCTAATGTGTTCAGCTCACTTTTACTTATGTAGCCCTTTGTTAAGGTGATAGATGCCTTGCAAGTTCATTACCAAAGTTGTTGATTATCTCAGTTGCATGGCTGGAAACCTAATATGAAAACTCAAGCTTTATGCTCATTATTGTCCAAAGGATAAAGCAAATTTTTTTATCTTCTATTGTTTTTAATCATGCTCTGATGAGTTCTGAGATGGTGAATGTATAATAATATCTAAATGTTGTCTCCTCTAACAATCACACTTTCATAAATGAAACAAATAGAGCATGCTGGCTTGAACATCCACTTTGCTGTACAGCAACAAAACACCAAGAGATAACCTATTTATATTTTAAATTCAAACCTAAGTTTGTTTCCTTGATCATGACATCTCCAGAGCACTGTTTTCCTCTTCTGGTTGCAATGCCAACATCCTTTATACCACAGTGAGTATGGTTCACATCACATAACCACTAACTGTTCACTTGTCACTTTCTTGGGTCCAGTTATGATCTTTTTCATAGAAAGAAGAAAGTCACAAACATATCAGTTATATGAGGCTGTGAAGTCTCTTTTTTATACTCTTTAAAAATCTACTATAATTCAGTCATAGGAATCCTACTCTACTGACCATATCTAATTGCTGCTTAACAATCACACCTCTCTCTGGATACTGTAATCCGATTTACTTGGCACCCTCTTAATACCTTTAACATGTAACTTTGGAGATTAAATTCCCACATAACCTCAGGGATAAAACCATACTCAAACTATAGCTGAAAGTGTCAACATAAAAGAAAATATGTTACATCCTTCACTGATGCTCTTTGCAGGCTCTCTCTAATGCTCTGCCTTGGATTAGGCTTTTAACAGCTTTTCCTGTCAATGTATTTAGAGGGTAATGGCAATGCCTGGTATTTTACTGGTGTTCGATGATCAAGTGGGTTTTTGAGACAATGCTTTATACTCAGTATGCTAGGATGCTTAGAGGGGGCTAAATTATAAAAAGAAACCATATTTTTCAAATTTATGATTATAATGTTATGGTTTAGGAAAGAAATGACCCACAAAACACCCACAAGTTGAAGATTAGTCTCAAGCAGGTATTGCAACCCTTGAAAGGTGGTACTCCCTAATGGATTTACAGTTTAAGCTATTGATGCATGGGGATGAGACATGCTTAGATGATGCAGGTCAGTGCAACTGTGTCTCTGAGGGTGTTACTGCACAATGGAAGTGGAGACATGGAGCAATGATATAGTTCACCAAAACTATCTTTGAAGGGTTACTTCTCTCTTCTATAGCAATGTTCAAGTTTACATTGATCAAGAATGATGAAGCCAGTAAGACCTGGACTAAATGTCTCTGAAACTGTGAGCAAAACTAAAATTGAATTATAGCCATTGCTTCATTTATATTGTTTCCCTCAAGGTGACAGACACGATCATGAGCTACAATATATATTATATGTGCTCACTACCGCCTATTTCTTTCAAGTGTTGGTCTAGAGTTTAGAAATGTTGCTTGACTTCCCTTGAATGTAAAGTGAATTCCTCTGTCCCAGGAAGTGTGTTTCCTGTGCTTGAACTCTTCTTGGATCCATTGCTGCATATTCCACCTATTTTTGAGACAGATGCTCTCATTGACTCTAAAGGTCACTTATTCAGGTAGAATTGCTTACCAGTTAATTCCATAACCCCCTATGTCTCACTGAATATGTGGAATTATGATTTTGGATCCTGAATGTTATGACTTAATTGCATAAACTTTCATTGGCTTCCTCCTTGACTCTGAATTTTGAGTAATGATATCTCCCTGAGTGGGTGATTGAAACAGTTACTAAGACAATATTCTTCCATATGACAAACAGAATTGATAATAAATATGTTCCTTTTTATCAATAAGAAGACTAAGTATGGAGGACTACATGTAAGATTGACAAAACACACAATTACCCTTCTAAGGTGCTACAGTTTTAAAAGGTTTTCCTAGTTCTGGAGTGCCCTTCAACTAAATATACCAATATTCCCCTGCCACAACCCCAGAATTGAAAATGATGAGATTATTATAAAATTCAGAATAATACTCTTCATTGAGTCTGTGAACTGTTCAGACCAACACAGCTTATAAGGCCCCCTTTTCTGATGAGTCATGAGGGTTGCAGACTGTGCAGACTGTTCATATAACCCTTTGGCCATAGTAAACTACAAAGTTAAGCTACAAAGGGCCCCTTTGACATGTTTCAAGGTGGAATATGCATATTATAATATTTTGTGAACTATATCTTATTTTAAAATGTATGGTGAAGGCTCAGTCAGTAAGAAGCTTGTGTCCTCAGCCTGAAGACCTACGTTCAGATCCTCAATACCCATATAAAATATCCAGGCACAGAGGTATATCTATGAAGGATAACAGTGAGACAGATGAGATTATAGAGTTCACTGGTAAGACATTCTACCTGAATAAGTGAGTTTTAGAGTCAGTGAGAGCATCTATCAAAAATAGGGAAAAGAGTGAATGAAAAAGACAGCTGACACCACCCTCTGGACTTCATACTTGTATACCTGTGTACTAGAACCCACATGCATACATTTACATCCTTAAACACGCATATGCCATCAGACTCTGTGTGTGTGTGTCTCTCTGTCTCTCTTTCTCTCTCTCTCACACACACACACACACACACACACAGAGGTGGAGGGAGGGAGAGAGAGAAGGGGGAGAGAGAAAAAGAGAGAAAGAGAGAGAGAGAGAGAGAGAGAGAGAGAGAGAGAGAGAGAGAGAGAGAGAGAGAGAGAGAGAGAGAATGAGAGAAAGCAAGGACTGAAGCATTTTTGCAGGGCTGGAGAGAGGACTCAGCCACTAAATGTAGGAGGAAGCCTGTATGCCGCCATTAACCATGTGACTTACTAGAGGTGCATACAGATGAGGTAATAAAAGGGCAGTTTACCACACCGCTAACGACACCCACTTTAAGCATGACTAAAGACATATACGGAAGGACGCAAACATGTATACTTACATAGGCGGTGAACTATGTCACTAGCCAGGCCCACTTTTGGGCATGGCTAGGGGGCGTTACGGGGGGAAGGCATAAAAGACAGGACACAGGAAATCTTAGTCTCTTTTCCCGGTGTTCGGCTTCCGGTTCGGCAGCGGGAAAACTACTTGGCTCATCTGGGTTACTTGTTTGGTATCTTGTGAGTAATTTCTACAATAAATACTTAGTTTTACTTTCAGTTAGCGTGTCGCTTATTGTTACAGCATCATTTGGAGGCTCAACTAAAGGCTAGGCTTACAAATACAATTAAAGATGCACTGTTGCAAGTATGTGCAGCTGGTTCTAGATCTTAAATTCCACCATGGGAGGCCTTTCTCTAGGTTTCTGTGTCTGTTTGTTCTCTCTACCTGAAATTAGGGACTACTAATTCCTCAGTGACTGCCTCATCTGTAAAAATCATTAAACCTCATCTTCAGTGTTTTTTCTTCAGGTAGGCCTATACTGTTACACACTCAGCAGCATCACAGAACAGTAGTGTGACCTCTACTATCCCACTCCTATGATTTACTCTGACCTTGCTATGACTATGAGGCCCAAACTACCAGAATACTGGCCTGTCTCATTGTAGACTTCAAGTACTAACCTCTTCCATGTTATTAAATCTCGGTAGGTAGGTTAGTATCTACCTTATGACCCATATTCAAGCCATATGCCTTAAAGAAATGACTAAGAAGAAAACACATCTATTGTTTCAAAAAAAAAAGAAAAGAAAACATAGTTTCAAGCTACGGTAATTAAGAAAAAAAATGTAACACAAAAGAAAGCAAAGGAAACAAACCCCAAGGCAGAAGCAACAGTAAGACCTTTTTGTCAGTAAGAAGCTGTTGCTAAAATGACTGTTTTCTCTGTGTTGACATTTGATAGAAGGACCAGTCCCAGAGCTGTGCTTTCTGCATATTGACTATAATAACATACCAATATGCCTTTCTAGATGAAAGGTCACAGATATTTTCTCTATAATGCTAGTAAATATTTAGGCTTTATAGACTATAACTTCTGTTATAATTACTCCCTGCCACTTAAGCATGAGACAGTAAAATTCATAGATGGTGCATAAGCAAATGTTGTATATGCCTTCTAATAAAGCTTTATTTAAAAATATCTGCAATGGGACAGATTTGGTTCACAGGCTCTAGTTTTCCACTCTGTGTTCCATTCCGAATGAAACATTTGTAGGTTAAAAATGCAATGGACTCCATTTATTCTTTTCTGTGGGATGCTATGATCAAGTCCCAATTTTTATTGTCATGCTTTGGAAGGTGTTGAAAAACTAGTTTCTAATACTCACTGCCATAACACACAGCAAGTAGTCAATGAATGCCATTTTTTTAGCCTCTATCTTCTCTAAACTATCCTATGAGGCATTGATCATTTCAAAATTTACTGTAATTGTGATTGGTGTAACCCTTTTATTTAATGATCATATGAATGCCATTTGTATTACTCTTCTTTACACATATTCAAGGACACACTACTCAGTGCTCACAA